GATTATCCTCTCTCAAACAAGCTCTTCCCCCGGAACTTGGGGACCTGGGGCCCCGAGGCTGGCCAGAAAAGCAGCTCTCACTCCCTGCCTTCAGCGCAGGCGCGTCCAGGCCCAACCGGGGGCCAGAGACTGCGCAGCACCGGAGGTTGGCCATGAGCCAGGTGGACACAATTTCTGGTGCTTGTGGTCTAGCAGGGGAGAACGCCTCAGCTAGTGTCAGGCTCCACACCTAACACCACACATCCACTACCAGGTGTGTCCTCGAGGCAACCCTCAAGTGACTCTTACCGTTCTCCCCACTTACAGATATGAAAGGGGCCGCCTTGAGAAGTTTAGCAACCAGCTCAAGTCACACACCTAATGCACTCATTTCCCGTTTCTGCTATAACATACCACCACACACGTAGTGGCTTGAAACAATCCAAATTTATTGTCTTACGGTTCTGGAGGTCAGAGTCTAAAACAGGTCGGCAGGGCTTGTTCCCTCTGAAGGCTCTAGGGGACAATCCGTACCTTGCCTTTTCTAGCTTCTAGTGGCCACGTACGTTCCTTTGTTCATCCCAGTCTCTGCTTCCGTCCTGGTCTTCTCTGACCCTGGCCCTCCTGGCCTCCCTCTCACGAGGACCCCTGGGATTACACTGGCCCACAGCATGATCTCACCGTCAGAATCCTTAATGACGCTTGCAAAGTCCCCTTTGCTGGGTAAGTTAAAATATTTGTTCCAAGGTTCCAGGGATTAGGATGAAGACATCTTTGGGAGCCATGATTCTGCCAGCCGTACCCAGAGTGAGCAGAGAAGCAGAACTGGGACCCAGGCATTCAGATACCAGAGCCCTTGACCAGCATATTCTAGGGTCTCCTGGGTCCCCTTCTTATACCCTACAATACCTCCGTCCCATTCCGAGATCTCAGATGCAGGGTCGTTTTGAAGCAACTGGAGTGTTATTGCCAAAGGAGGGGCGGGGGACGCAGCCACTGTGGAAAACAATCAGGTTCTCAAAGACTTGTGCACAATTGTTCAACAGTGGCACTGATCACAAGAGCCAAAAGGTGGAAACAAAAGGTGGAATCAGCCCAAGCGTCCTTCAGCCGATGAACAGATAAACACTATGCGATCTGTCCATACTGTGGCACATTATTCAGCCATACAGAAGAATCAAGTACTAACACCTGCTACAGTATGGATGCACTTCAAAAATATGGTGCTCGGTGAAAGAGGCCAGACACAAGAGGCTACATAGTGTGTAGTTGTGTTTCTGTGAAACATCCAGAACGGGCACATCCATAGAGACAAAGTAGTTAGTGGTAGCCGGGGGCTGGGGAAAGCGGGGGAAGGGGAGTGAGTGCTTAGTGCTGATGGCATTTCCTTTGGAGTGATGAGCATGTCTTGGAACAGGATGGGGCGGTGGCATTACAACATTGTGAATGTACTCAATTCTGACCTGCCACTTATCTCCTCTCTTTAGAACGGATAACGGTGGGGGAGCCTGGGTGGCTCAGTCGACTTGGTTTTGGCTTAGGTCATGATCTTGGGGTCCTGGGATTGAGCCCTGAATTGGGCTCCGTGCTCAGCAGGGAATCTCCATGAAGATTCTCTCCCTCTGCTCCTCTTCCACCCCACTCTCTCTAATACATAAATCTTTTTAAAAAAGAATGGATAATGGTTAATTTTATGTGAATTTTACCTCAATTTTACTTATTTACTTTTTTATTTTTATTTTTTTTATTTCTTAAAGATTTTATTTATTTATTTATTTATTTGACAGAGAGACACAGCGAGAGAGGGAACACAAGCAGGCGGAGTGGGAGAGGGAGAAGCAGGCTCCCCGCCAAGAGGGAGCCCGATGCGGGGCTCGATCCCAGGACCTTGGGATCATGACCTGAGCCGAAGGCAGACGCTTAACAACTGAGCCACCCAGGTGCCCCTACTTATTTATTTTTAAGTAGGCTCTGCACCCAGCATGGGGCTTGAACTCAACCCCAAGACCAAGAGTTGCACACTCTACTAAGGCAGCCAGGCACCCCTTTACCTCAATTTTAAAAAAGAGAGAAGCACTGGGGCACCTGGATGGCTCAGTCGGTTGAGGGTTCGACTCTTGATTTCAACTCAGGTCATGATCTCAGGGTTGTGAGATCGAGCCCCAAAGCAGGCTCCACACCCTGCTTCGGGCTCTGTGCTAAGCGCAGTCTACTTGGGATTCTCTCCCTCTGCCCCTGCCCCCTCAAATAAATAACATCTTTAAAAAAAAAGTTTTAAAATAGGGATAGGGGTCCCCAGCTGTGTCCCCTGTCCCCCTACCATTTGGCCTGGCTGGGTGGGCAGGAGGCCCTCTGTCTTCTCCTCTCTCCTCTGACCCTTAGCCTTCCTATCTAGACCCCTGGGTGCATTGTTTCTTGTTTTTCATGCCCATTATGAAAGTAAGACCTTCCCATGGTGGGGGTGGGGAGGTGAGACCTTCTCATTAAGGAAAATCTGGGACATTCCAAGCTGTTCAAATATGAAAATCACCATTAGAGCCCCCCAGACCCAAGCAGAGCAATGATGGGAGGCTGTGGCAGGATGTATTTCAGGTGGGTCCGACTCCCCAGACTCGGATTCTGCTCCCAGCCCTTAATACCCACCAAGGTGTGACCTTGGGGCACAATCCCTGACCCTCTCTGCCTCAGTATCATCTTCTGTAAAATGGGTGTATGCATAGTATCCCCCTTCTCAGGTTAAGCTGAGTGGAATAACCCCCATTAACACTTGCTTAGCCCTATGAGGTGCTCTAGAAACTCACACTAGTTAGCCGTGTATTACTCACCCAAATCGTGGGTGAGATTCCCTCCAGTCTTCTGTTCTTTGTATACCTTTGGGCTGACCTGCCAGGCTCACACTGCTCAGATCATTTTAAGCTGGGCTTTTCCCAATCAACATCGCCAAGAGCACCCAGCAAATGACTGCTGCTTTCTGCAAACCTGATCATCCTGCTTGCAATGCAAGTGGTCACCCACTGGGACTTGCTTCCCACCCCCCAATTGTTCAGAATCCTACTGCCACTCACATGTGATGGCTTGGCGGGATGGGGGGGTTATGTTTTCTCTGCAGAGCAGCTTATTTCTTTAGGGGACATTTCAAAAGGCCGAATCTCTTCCTGCTCCAGGCCAGTCCACAAGTCCCCGGTACTGTTTGGTCATCACACCTAATGTTCTCATTTGCTTTGACGAGGAGGCCAGTCTCCCAGATCCCTCAAGAGCTGTGGACTCTTGGCTTGAGAGATTTCTCTGTTGGAGATGAAACCATGTTCCAGGACAGGCCCTGCCCAGCCCCACTCCCAGCCTGAGCCTCTGCCGTCAGATGTGTAGAAGGTGGGGGAGCAGCGGGCAAGGGTATAGAGGGACAGAAGGCTAGCTGGGGCTCAGGACAATGGAGGTGAGTAGATTGGGGCAGACTTGTGGGCAGAGCAGGGTCAGCAAGCCACCTCCCGCTTTTGTAAATAGTTTTACGGGCACACAGCGCACCCTTTACCAGTCTGTGGCTGCTTTCTCGCTATGACAGCAGGGCTGAAGGGTAAGTGCAATAGAGATGTTTTGACGCACAAAGCTGAACATCTTTACTATCTGGGTTTTCAGAGAAAATGCCAACACCTGGGACTGGGGACTGCTTACGTGCCAGGAAACAGGTGAGAAAGACCTGAGTGAGATGGATTAGGTATAAGAAACATCTTGGGGCACCTGGGTGGCTCAGATGGCTGAGCGTCTGCCTTCGGCTCAGGTCATGATCCCAGGGTCCTGGGATCGAGCCCTGCATCGGGCTCCCTCTTGGCGGGGAGCCTGCTTCTCCCTCTCCCTCTACTGTTCCCCCTGTTTGTGCTCCCTCGCTCTCTGTCAAATAAATAAAATCTTAAAAAAAAAAAAAAAGAAAAGGAAAGAAACATCTTATCAGGGACACATCAGGGAGGGGTGAGGACTATGGCAAATTGGAGAGTTCATGGCCCAGCTAAAGAGGGCAGCTCATCAGCTGTGGGCTGGGCCCAGAATCGCCAGGGCTTACATTCTCTAACACACACTGAAAGTCTAGATGTTCCTGTGAACAAGAGAAACGTTAGAGGGGCGCCTGGGTGGCTCAGTCATTAAGCATCTGCCTTCGACTCAGTCATGATCCCAGGGTCCTGGGATCGAGCCCCGCATCGGGCTCCCTGCTCCGTGGGAAGCCTGCTTCTCCCTCACCCACTTTCCCTGCTTGTGTTCCCTCTCTCGCTGTGTCTCTCTCTGTCAAATAAATAAATAAAATCTTTTAAAAAAGAGAGAGAGAGAGAAGCGTTAGAGGGTGAGCACATGGACTCAGATCCCACCCTGCCGCTTCCTCACTAGGTGGCCTTGAGCAGCTGGCTCAGGCTCTCTGTAAACTGGAGGTAGTAATGGCACTGGCTTCACAGCGCTGGGATGATTTTTTTTTTAAGATTTTATTTATTCATTTAATTGTCAAAGAGTGAGAGACAGTGAGAGAGGGACCACAAGCAGGGGGAGCGGGAGATGGAGAAGCAGGCCTCCCACCAAGCAGGGAGCGCTGGGGTGATTATTAAACAAGCTACCATCCAGAGGGCCCCCAGAGCAACGTTATGCACAAAGTGTGGGGGTGAATATTTCCTAAATCAATCTTTTGATTTTTCAGTGCTGGCGATTTAAAACACTGTGGCACCAGCAATGGACAGCCCGAAGAGAACAAACGGATGTTCTGCTTTCCAGCTATGGGTCACGGGTTGGCTTCTCCTAGCAGAGTGATTAAGGGATATGAATTTGGAAGTCAGGGGGGCCGGCTGAAGCCCACTTAGCCCAGTTAGGTGACCCTGGGTAAGGGAACTGCCCAGAGGCCCTGGGTTCTTGTCTATAACACTAGGCCAGGGTCATTGTAAGGATTTAGGGGAGTGTTCAGAAAGGACCCTGGAGGAGCTTACCTGTCCCTGCCCTCAGCTCCCTCCTGTAGAGGAACCCCCACCCCACCCACGTGAGGGGAAAGGGGTGGAGCTCAGATTCTTCAGTTAACTGTCGCCCTGTCCCCTCCCCCTCATCACACACACCGGGGTCTGCCAGGATAGGACAGCCCCCTGAAGCTCCCTCAGAGACCCAAGGCCATCAGGTGGCACACAAAAGCTGCTTTTCCCTTTCTCTCTGTCCCCATGGGTCCAGACCCTGGGCTTTGCCAGGCTGGCCACATTCTGCTGGGGTCGGGGGGTGGGGGGCGCGTATCTGGGCAGAAAGAAGCTGGGGCGAGGGGGAGAGGAACAGATTCGTGGGCTTGTGCATCTCAGGGAAAGGGTTCAGCCTCCCCTGAAAGACAGCTCCTCCAAGTACCTCACACCAAGGCCCTTGAGCCATGGAGACGTGGAAGATGGGTAGATTATGGGGTATAATGTGCGGGAGTGCCTGGCAGCAGAGCTCAGGAGCCAGAGTCCAGAAATGAGAATTCAGGGGTCCCCCTCTGGAGCCCCAGTGACCCCCTTCTCTCCACCCACCCGGATGACAGGCATTGCTGTGCCCTTGGCCCCCATGGACCCCATGAGGCGGTCCCCCTCCCCCTGCTCATCAAGACCCTCCAGCCCCAGGACCCCACCCTGCAAGATGCTTGGCTATGTGGGCATAGAAGCCGTGCTGGACCAGCTGAAGATCAAGGCCATGAAGATGGGGTTTGAGTTCAACATCATGGTGGTGGGTGAGTGAGGGGCTGGGACTCATAGGACAGACCAATGGATGCAACCTTGTGGGCCTGGGCATATCACTTCACCTCTCTGAGCCTCAGTCTCCCCATCTGTAAAATGGGCCTGATAAGAGTCCCTCACCAGGTGACATAGTTGAAAACCGGGAAACACTGAGGCCTTAAAAGACAAAAATTACCCATGGAGGCCCAGCCAAACCCAAACTGAACAATGAAAGGGAAGGCTGTGGCAGGAAGTGGTGAACACCTAGACCCAGATCCTGGTCCCAGCCCTTAACACCTACCAGAGTGTGACCTTGGGCACAGTCCCTGACCCTTCTCTGCTTCCTTTCCTCATCTGGTTTAGCACAGTGCCTGGCATTCAGAAGGTTCTCCGGAATTGCATTTTTATATAAGCAAAATTAATTTCGTAGGTCAAAACTACAATTTGCACAAAATAAACTAGGTCCAACAGAACATAAAACATCAGAGTGTGTAGCACCAATGAAGGGTATTATCTTTTTTTTTTTTTAAAGATTTTATTTATTTTTTGACAGAGAGAGACACAGCGAGAGAGGGAACACAAGCAGGGGGAGTGGGAGAGGGAGAAGCAGGCTTCCTGCGAAGCAAGGAGCCCGGTGCGGGGCTTGATCCCAGGACCCTGGGATCACGACCTGAGCCGAAGGCAGACGCTCAACGACTGAGCCACCCAGGCGCTCCTGAACGGTATTATTCTAAGTCAGTGCTGTCCAGTAGAAATATAGCGTGAGCCACACAACGTAATTTTAAAAATTTCCAGTAGCCACCTTTAAAAAAGTGAAGGGGCACCTGGGTGGCTCAGTCGTTAAGCATCTGCCTTCGGCTCAGGCCATGATCCCAGGGCCCTGGGATCGAGCCCCACATCTGGCTCCTTGCTCCGCGGGAAGCCTGCTTCTCCCTCTCCCACTCCCCCCTGCTTGTGTTCCTTTTCTCGCATTGTCTCTCTGTCAAATAAATAAATAAAATCTTTTTAAAAAAATCTTAAAAAGTGAAGAGAAACAGGAGAAATTTATTTTAAACATTTATTTTATTTAACCCAGACCATTCCAAAATACTCTTGTGACATGACATGTAATCCACATAAAAAATGATCCATGAGAACTTTTGCATTCTTTTTGGCACACCCAAGTCTGCAAAATCTGGTTTGCATTTGCCACTGGTGGCACAGCTCAGGTTGTCTGTATCGCCCTCGGCGGGAGTCAAGTGTGACTCCCAGATAGGACAGTACATCCCTAAGGACCACGTCAGTTATGTACACAAAGGTGTGTCCTGCATTGTGAAACAAGGCGTTCCCTCCTACAAGGTGGGGTTCACAGTTTGAGAAGCCCCCACAGCAGGGAGAATGGACAGTCTGGGTGCATCTCGCCAAATAGTGTCAAGTGAAAGGAGCCAGACAGGAGAGCCCAGGCTGTGTGTTTCCCTAAGACAAGGGTGGGCAGAGCTGCTCCCTGCTGCCGGAAGTCGGGGAAGTAAGTGGCTGTCCCCGGGGTTTGGGGGCCAATAGCTACTGATATGGGGCGTGACTGGGCTTGTGGGGAACTATGTGTTCCATCTCTGGACCTGGTGCTGTGTCCATGGGCTGTTTAATTTGTGAAATGATTGAATGGATAAACACAAAGTGGTCTGTTCCTGTGATGGAACATTATTCAGCCATGAAAAAGAAGGAAGCACCCACAGCTGGTATGACATGGATGAACCCTGAAAAGGGGATATTTAGGGGAAGCAGCCAGACACAAAAGGGTGGATATTGCATGATTCCATTTATAGGAAATGTCCAGAGTAGGTAAACCCACAGAGACAGAAAGAAGCCCAGCGGTTGCCAGGGGTGACAGTGGAGGGAGAACGGGGCGGGACTGCCGATGACTGTGGGGTTTCTTTGGGGGGCGATGCAAATGTTTTTGAGTGTTAAAAAAAAAAATTCAGGCCCGCCTCGGTGGCTCAGCTGGTTGAGTGTCCAACTCTTGATCTCAGCTCAGGTCTTGATCCCAAGGTCATGAGTTCAAGCCTTGCATTAGATTCCATGCTGGGTGTGGAGCCTACTTAAAATAAAAAATGAAAAAAAAAATTCAACCTAGTCAATTTGAAGATCTAATTGGCTTTATTACATGATTCATGAGTCGGGCAGCATCCCATCTGACAAGTAGAGTGGAGCTCCAAGGAGCTGTGCAGCATGGAAGGTTTTGGGGTGGTGGTGGTGGTGGTTGTTGTTGTTGTTGTTGTTGTTGTTGTTGGAAGATTTTTATAAGAAGTGGGGAGGGGAGGGGAGGGGGTGCAAGGAAGTTATTAGCAAAAGGAGAGGATTGTTCCAGGCAAGGCTGTTTTCCCTTAGGAGACAAGCAGGGGGTCCTAGGCGGTTTACCTCCTCTCTCTTTGGGGGATAGAGAGGCCCATGTGACATTACCTCATTGGTACTGACCAGAAAATTCCTGACCTACCAGTCAAGACTCCATTTTGGGGGAGGTGGGAACTGCAATTAGGTTAGATATTAAGCCTTCCTTTGGGGACTTGGCCTAAGTGATGTCATTTTGGGCCTGCGGTTTTCTTTTTTGCTGTTGCTTTTTAAAGATTTTATTTATTTACTTATTTATTTAAGAGAGAACACAAGCAGAGGGAGCAGCAGAGGGAGAGGGAGAAGCAGACTCCCCACTGAGCAGGGAGCCCCATGTGGGACTCGATCCCAGGACCCTGGGATCATGACCTGAGCCGAAGGCAGACGCTTAACCAACTGAGCCCCCCAGGCGTCCCAGGGTGCGGTTTTGTTTTTAACAGGAGCTAGATGGAGGTGATGGATGCACAACGCTGGGACTGTACTAAATGCCACTGAATTGTTCGCTTTATTTTTTTTTAATTTTATTTATTTGTCAGGGGGAGAGAGAGAGAACAAGCAGGGGGAATTGTTCACTTTAAAAGGCTAATGGTTCATTTTTTATCGTATGAGTTTTGCCTCAATAAAAAGGGGGGTAAGCACTGAGGGGAACCCTGACGATAGTACCCACTTCTCTGTATTTATGTTATGCTTACAAAACAGTTCACTTTCTAAAACAATTTAGGAGCCTGAGAGGCGCTGCCTAAAACTTCCACCACTTTTGCTGTCCTCTGGTTACCTGCAGGGCAGAGCGGGCTGGGCAAGTCCACAATGGTGTACACCCTCTTCAAGTCCAAGATGTGGAAGTCCACCATACCGGGCCTGGGGATGCCCACACCCCAGACGCTGAAGCTGCAGTCGGTGACTCACGGTGATTGGCGCCCCCCACCCTCACC